GACCTCTAATATAATGTATTAAAACTTTATACAGATATGCAGGTGAATAGGATTCCTAGCTGGCAGGCCCCTGACAGCAAGATGGCCACCTGTCGATTCCGTGAGGAATGAGGCTCCCTCTTCCCTCCTGTCAGGGTCCAGGGTGCAGGTGAATGGGGATCCTGGCTGGCAGGCCACTGACAGCAAGTTATCCAACAGCGGATTCTGTGAGGAATGGGGCTCCCTTCTTCCTACTGTCAGGGTCTGGTTTGAAGGCTGGCCACACCCCCTGTTGGGCCAGACCCAGAGTTCTACCCACAGCAGCAACCCAGGACTGACTGCTGCTGGGCGCTCCTGGCGCTCTGACGGTGGGTTCTTCCTTCAGGCCTCGAGGGAAACAGGTTGGGGAGTGAGCAGCCCTTGGCAAGGTGACCCAGGACTCAGTGCGTCCATGCTCCGAGGGTAGGTTCCTGCCTGAAACCTTGCCCTCCGGGAAACAGCTTGGGGAGGGCGCAGCTGTTGCCAAGACAACCCCTGCAGGACTGACTTCCTTCCAGTTGGTCAAGCCTTGGATGTGATGCATTACACCCAGGGTTTTTATATAAATAGATGCCACAGAAATTATTTTCTGCAGGAGTAGAGAGCCCCATAAATAATATATTTTTTACCTTAAGAAGTCCTGCTTCCTTTCACTCTGTATTATGGATAGATGCATCAACTTTATGGATGACATGCTATTGGAAAGAACTGTGAATGCAATGAAGAGTGCCATCAAATCAAAAGGAACAATGCACTAAAACTATCAAGATGAAATTTGATAGGGATTGATATAATATCGAGCACTTTTATCTAAAAATGAATCACCAAGCTACAGAAGGTGGAGAAAGTTTAACAATAACCTATGAAATGACGTAGGAGTTTTATCTGAAAGCAAGATTAACATAGGCAACTGTCAAACAATAAAAAATGATTTATCTTAGATTATATCATTAGAGTAATGGGATCTACAAGAATCATTTTCCATCAGAGAAACATGCTTCCCTAGAAGGCATATTACTATATTTAGGAGGTGAAGAATGCATTGTCAAATACTAAATTGAAAACTTAAAACAGGGAAAAAGAATATTTTGTCCCCTTCTATAGGTTGTCTTTTCAATTCATTAGTGGTTTCCTTTGCAGTGTGGAAGCTCTTTAGCTTAATGTAGTCCCACTTGTTTTAATTTTTGTTGCCTGTGCTTTTGGTTACTTATGTGAGAATTCATTGCCAAGACTGTTATCAAGGATTTTTTTTTTCTGTTTTCTTCTAGGAGTTTTATGGTTTCATGTCTTACATTTAAATCTTTGATCTATTTTGAGCTAATTTTTGCAAGTGGAATAAGGGGCCCAGTTTCTTTCTTTTGCATGTGGTTGTCCAGTTTCCCCACCACCATTTATTGAAGAAATTGTCCTTTCTCCATTTTATGTTCTTGGCTTCCTTGCAAAAAATTAATTGACCGTACATGTGGGGGACTATGTCTGGGCTCCCTATTCTGTTTCACTGATCTATGGGCCTGTTTTTAATACCAGTATCATGCTGTTTGATTACTATAGCATTGTAATGTAGCTTGAAATCAGTAAGTGTGATGCCTCTTCCTTTGTTGTTCTTTTACTTTTCAATTACAATTTACATTCAATATTATTTTATATTAGTTTCAGGTGTACAGCATAGTGGATAGACAGCATATATTTTACATAGTTATTACAATATTATTGACTATATTCCCCTATGCTGTACTTTACATCCCTGAAATTATGTTGTAACTACCAATTTGTACTCAATCCCTTCACTTTTTTCACCCAGTTCTCTAACCTACCTCCCCTCTAACCATCGGTTTGTTCTCAGTATCAATGTGTCTGTTCCAATTTTGTTTGTTTATTCCATCTGTTGGATTCCACATACAAGTGAAATCACAAGATATTTGCCTTTCTCTAACTGACTTCACTTAGGATAATACCCTCTAGGTCCATCCATGCTGTCGCAATGGTAAAATTTCATTTTTTTTTCATGGCTAACTGTGCCATGTTCTGATGTGATCTGAAGCCTGCCTCTGGGCATGTTAGCTCTGGAGCCTCATGGGAGGAACTCCAGTATAGGTCAATGTCAGGGACTGCCTGTGACCCATTTGGAGCTACAAAGTGATCCACAGTTTGTGGCTTCCTCTGCTGGGGCTGGGTGCATGTGAAAGGGGACAAGCTGTAGACCAAGCACAGCTTCCACCATCACTGAGCCTAAAGGCAGATCAGCAAAAGGTCCAAGGCCCTCTGAGATCTGCCTCCACCTGCCATCTGCTCCACCACCCCTTGAATCTTCCTGGACTCCCTGGAGGGCTTTCTAAGAAAGTCTGCACAGTGGGCCCAAGCTGGCTTCAGCCAGCAGTCTCCTCTGCATGGTAGAGTTTGCAGGAAGGGACCACAGAGAGTTGGGAGGATGTGGCTAGTGGATTTCCTATGTTGGGGGTGACTCTGGTCAGGCGCACAGCTCAGTCTCTCCACATGTCCATCACCAATATGCCGAGTCTGTCCAAACCTTCTTAAGAGCTCTCCCAGGAAGTCTGCATTGCAGGCCCAGACTGGCTGCAGCCAGTAGACTCCTTCACAGGGTGTAACCTCAGCACGGTGTGGCCACCTTGAGTGGGGAGAGTGGGTGTACTGGATCTCCTGTGTGGGGGTGATCCAGTCAGACCCACAAGTGTGTGTGTTGGGGGG